GCTATGCAAAATTTGTGAATGATGGCGTTCATGGCGGCGCCATAGACCGCCACGGCGGCCGCCATGGCGGAATTTTGGCAAAACGCCATGTACCGCCATCCGCCATTAATAACGCTGGTGAAAATGATAAGTTGAACATTTCATAAGCAGCAACCCATACCTACACACATGTTTGATTTCCACTTGATTCATCTTTAGTAAGCTGCTCATGTCAATTTTTCGTTCTTTTTTTTTTTATCGTTATCAATTTTTCGTTCTTGCTTTGCTGATTGGTTGCCTGAATATAGCCTGCTTTGAACGATAACGAAGATGAGGTGATGAATGAGGAAATTGTTCAACTGGAGAAGAAACTTCATGAACAGGTCATCTTGTGTACCGATTTTATGTTCTTTCCTAATTATTTTTTTGTTTCCTGAGCATGGCCATGATATACGCTTCTGATACTTGAGTTAGTGTGTCCTTCCTTTGTTCATAGTCTTATTAACCTGTCTACTGTCTGCGGTATCTTCGTGCATATTGCATTTCATGACTCTGTATTTTTTGTCTCATGCTACTCCCAGATGAGAAAGAAGAAGTCTTGCTTGGATACCATATACGAGGCTGTTCAAGAAGGCAAGAATATTGGTAGAAGGTAAAATACATGTTTGATTCTCTTACTATCAAAATTTAGGCACTGTCTGAGTCATGGCAAGAATGTTGTTTTTAACTACTTTAATGATAAATTTTATTGCTTCCTCAGGGATCCTGAGCAGATTGCCATGGACAAACTTGTTGAGTTGGCATACAAGAAACTTTTGGTTAGTTTGATCTGCACTTGATCATTATTACATGGAACATCAATATCTTCAAGAAGTACATGCATGTGCATTCATATTTGCTTTGCTTTCATAGACGTTTCTTGAAAAGGTCGATGTATATGAACGACTGCTATAGAAAAAAGTGTTACTAATGGAGAATAGCAGAAAATGGCGGCAGGCTAAAATCCCGCTATATGCACCCCCCATGGTGGCGTGTGGTACCGCCATAATAGCCATCCTTCACAAAATTCTCCTGGTAGTTAGGCAGCAATCCCCACGACGTTAGTGGAATATGTAGTGCACTTGGATTGATGGAAAATGTATGGTTAGTGGGCCAGTTAAAATCTCCAAGAAACCTTTCTGTTTTCATCAATCAAACCTTCCAGTTTAAAACTTTCTTTTCCTTATTTTAAAATAAATGAGAGATGCCTCCTGAGATCTGAACTCTGTGTAGCCTGGCCTACATTGAAATATTTTTTCAAGTGGATTATTCAATGCATAAACATAAAATAAATTTCTGCTCTTACAAAACAACCAATATGTGATAATATTATTGTTGCTCAATTTTTAGGTTTAGATAAAATGCAATTTTAAACAAATCTGAATTGTTTGGTGCTAATTGATGGAGTATCTACAGAGCTGCAATTAGGAATTACTAGGGGCACCATAGTAAACTAATGGTGTCTCGATAACCTCTTTTTTATAGCACAGGAGGGAATTTAAACTTCTTACTATCTAAGTCAGTTGATAGCATATTCACGGTGAAAAAGTAATAACCTTAGACTAGTTTGTCTGTTAATGAAACTGCGTGCCAATGTCTCTCCAGGTAATTGGCTTCAATGCATTTCCAAACCATTTGGATGACAGACCATTAGTTCAGTTCTCTTCTATATGTTTCAAATTTCTGTTAGAAGTATTGTACGAGTTGCTGAATCTGGTTGGTACAATAAATTCAAGCAACTGTCAGATTTGAATTGTGGAAGTTATTCTTTGAAATAATTGTCAGGCAACTAAAAGAAGCTTTGCTTCTAAACATGGGATAGCTAAGGTGTCGAAACAAGTTGCTTTGGCATTTGCAAAGAGGACACTTGCAAGATGTCGAAAATTCGAGACGGATTCAAGAGCAAGCTGTTTTTCAGATCCTGCTCTCCGGGATATAATTTTTGCCACACCACCTCGTTTTGATGACACAGAGATGCTTACTTGTGCCGGTCGGATAACTGCTAATGGTTAGCACTTGAATCTATTGTATTCACAAGTTGTAATTGTCTCTATGGTGGCTACTGATAATTGTGTGCATACTTTTCAAGTAAATATGGTATTTTTAAATTAAAAAACAACACTTGGAAAAATTCTTTTAACAAATGTAATTTGTTCCAGAAGTTGCGACTTTGGTTTTAAAATTGCGAATGTTTGTTTAAAAAGTATGACCCATCACACAAAATATTTTTGTGCGAACCGTCTCATACCATTTTCCCTATAATTCTTTGTAGATGGCAGCTTGGTAGATGCATTTGATGCTCGGGTTCACGAATCGGATCAGGCTTTCGCTAAAAACGGGCCAATCTCAAATAGAGCAAAGAGGAAGGAGCTATTGCTTGATGATGTTGGCGGGGCTGTATTCCGAGCCTCATCTGCTATGGGCATCTCTGACGGGTCTAAAGGAAAGAGAAGCGAG